TCTGTTTATTTTAATTTGGAAATTCACAACTATAAGTATGTACGTGCTCGTAATTTTAATTCACATGAGAGTAAAATGATCATTTACCAGCTTTAGTAAATAAATTTTAATATTTATTAAGGTCTATTTGAAATTGAATACTATTAACGATTTATAATTTAAACTCATGGTATGGATACCATATTAATAATCCTCAATAATATTTTAATACTCTCGAACGTATCTTATTAATTACCTTTTAACATATTAGAGACAGTTGAATTGTTACCTACTTTTAATGACCCTTACCTATAAGTATGTTAGTACATAAAAATATTTTGTGAAACCAGAAAGGCTGATTTAGTACTTTTATTAGAGAAAGGTAAACATTAGAAGCTGCTGTAATTCAAGCACAATAATAGCTAAATTGGTTTGCTATTAATATTTGTATGATGAAAAACACAAAAAGCTCATAATAAGAGGTTCTCTTTAGTCTTTTAAGATGATGTTATTATGTTTATAGTTACTTAACTATTTAATTACGTAATAAGGTATAAAACCTGTGTAATTAAAATAAAATAAATAAATATTATTTTTATGCCGAGTAGTTACATAATTGTAAAACTTTATTTATTCAAATTCAAAAATACCTGTTCGCCGGTAATCTCAATCCAATCCACTGGAGGGCCGTATACCTCATCTGACGCATCGTCCTCCCGCGGCCGCGGATAATGGAGCCGCGTAATTGGCGCGCATAACAAATGGGGAATTTTCCGAATTCGTATTGAATTCGTAACTATCCCGCTGACAAATGCCGGTTGTTTTGCCGGTTTAAATTAAAGTATTGATTTATTAACGGTATCGGTTTTGCGAGTTCGATGATTCGGCTTGGGGAATTTTCTTTGGTTCTTTCGTTCTGTTCTTACTAATTCATTGTTAAATATTGTTTTAAGGTAGACAAGGTAGATAGATTTTGCAAACGTATAGCGAAACGCGTTATGATGAAAAGCCAAAATGTACGCTGGAGAAGCCAGACAGAAACTTATTTAGATACACCCACACAATAATATGAACGGCTTATGATAGACTAGCGGCCGCCCGCGACTTCGTACGCGTGGATACCGTCCCGTTACCCCCTTAGGAGTCGAGTTTCGTAAAATAATATCTACATGCATGCCAAATTTCAGCCCGATCGCGATCCGTCCAGTGGTTTGGGCTGTGCGTTGATAGATCACTATGTCAGTCAGTCAGTTAGTCATTTAGTCAGTCAGTCAGTCACCTTTGAGTTTTATATATTTAGATTGTCATACATAACGTTACATTTTATCCACCTACGCCCTAACTACGCTTTTATACGCTTCGCTTTGGATTCTACAAACAAGTGAAGCGCGCACTGGTTTTCTCACACGAAGGCGTGGATACTCTTAACTTTAATTCAACTTTCAAAGCTGGTGCACTTCAAAACGCATTATCAGTTGTGTTTTGCTAGACTTAAGCTGCAGTATACCTACTTAAGAACTCTTAGAACACTTATGTACAGTGTACCTCCATAGTATCGTGTTAGTATTCATTAGCATTTAGTGAATAGGCCAGCAAACTTCTCGGAGTATTGTTCGCCTCAGTTTTGTTATTGGACTAGTTGTAGTAGTTGCAATAGACCATTACAGGCACAACTTATTACACCGGCCAGATAGGAAGAAAGTTATGCAGGATAGGTGAAGTTGGGATGTTGTGTTTGTATTGCAATCTCTGTAATTATGGAGCAGATGAAAGCTGTGATATTCCCTGGTTGAGTGTCTCTTTAGTAACTTTTTATTCGGGAAAATAAACATTTTGTTGCAACAAACCAAAATAAAGACTATATGTAATTTAGAGTAAATTACGATAAGTGTGAATCTGTAGCTATGTTATTTTAGATTACTGTGAGGAGAATTTGATGAAAAATACAAAGAAATAAGGATGAAATTAGAAACGAGGACGGCTCGTTATATTCGTTTAACGTATGGGTAGAATTTGGCTTTAGCCCAAAGTTAACTACCAGAAGGTGCTTTTTCGTTTTTTTTTGTGTATGTGAAAGTGTCTGTGCTATATAGTTTTAATAAATAGTAGGTATTCAGACACGCACGTTGAAGTTTATTAAGTTACATTAACATTAATACTGGATGTTTCCGAAACATATCACCTGGCTAAAACTCGGGCAGCACAATAATACACGTAATAAAACACCTCGTGTTTCTATTATTTAAAGTTCCATCTCAAAAACCAGTAACTTTATTAAAACAACATTAAAACTCGGAATCCAGTTATCTCTTTATTAGAATTGATTCCGGGCTCGAAAGTTTCGGATGTCCCGGTCCCAAAGGATATCCATTTTAATTAGAACTACCCGGCAGTAAATAGTTCATGTTTAGGAGCCAACTAATAAACTAGCGAACATTCGTAATTGGCTTGTAAAACTTAATGGTGCCGCCTGATATTAATTTGAAGGGTATTAATGCTTTGTTTGCGAATTAATGTCGGCGAGGGTAGGACAAGTGACATTTAATTACAATTTGTGATGAGCTTAGACAAAAGCAGAAACTATCAATATCTAAGTTGTAACATACATCCCCCAATGATTTCTACATCGCTTGGTTCTTTAAGAGGCCTATATTCAGCAGTGGACGTCCTGTGGCTGAATGATAATGATGTTGATCATACAACAGTTTATTATTACACTTCGTATCTCATAAAGATATGAAGTTTGTTGTTAGACAGTTTTAATTTGATAGAGTCTCATCCGTATTTAGATTCCAAGAATATTCCTTTTTCAGAAACCTTTTATGCAAAGCGTTAAAAATAAACAGCGTGTTAGTTGATCGACGCTCGTGATCGACAGAGGCATTACGGCGAGCCCCTCAAATCCCCGGTGCCCCAAGTCCCAGAAACCTCTGGCCTAATTTTGGCATCTTTGCAACATGAATAAATTGTGTTCAGCCATATTCGGAGCAAATATCCCGCACTAAACCGATCTCACCGATATATCAAGACAGAATAAGCGCGGAAAAAATTTAATCAGACGTAATTTAGTGGAAGTAAGCCCCTCCCGGAGCGAAAAGGATGTTTTTGCGACAGCATACTCTACAATAGAGTAATACACAGAAGCTTTAGGTCAGTGATCTAAAATGTTTTTTTTTTCTTACATAAATAACTGAAGACATACATAAGTACGTAGAATGCCCTGTTAAGTGATATTCGTTAAAAATTTTGAAACATGAAGAAGTTAACATTGTGGTGTAAGATTAAGAAAGAGAAAACAGATAAACTTATTCTTTCAAAAACAGGAAACTGTGCACGGTAAATATCTGAAGTATGTATGTATGCTCTCCCAAAACTATAGTGTAACGAAATTGTGATTGTTTTAACTTCAACTTCAAGGCCGAGTTGCACCATCTTACTGAAACTTTGAGACACGTCAAAAATATATCAAATTCCGTAGAAAAAACACAAGTTATAGTTTCTGTTAAAGTAAGATGGTGCAATCCAGCCTAAGGTATTTAGTTTACAATAGATAGTGAGCTTACTGAACGCCTTCTATTTTACACAGCGTCGACAAATCGACTCCTGAGAGAGAATATTGCTTACCGGATAAAAATGTTGTTTCATTATGTTAATGCAATATATAAAATCCATTCATCATGCACGTATAAAAATATAAGAAATGTAGCTGTATGGAGGTTGCGCTTAGACTCGGGTACCGTAATGTATCACGTTTACTTTTTTCCTGTAATTCATGTTTTTAGTGTTGTTATAAATAATTTCTATCGGTCTGTGTACGGTGCCCTCGAAATGAAAGTCTAATTTAATCACCCATGCTTAAAGTGAAATATTTCCCCAAAAAACTTTTATTCAAACACATCACTGGAACACAACTCCAAATTGAGTTAGCTTTTCATTTCAGTTTTTAACCAACTTCAAAAAAGGAGGAGGTTCTATGTTTGGCTGTAATGTATTTTAACATTTCACTTTTAAAGCTGAAAGAACAAAACATGAACCGTCTGATTCTACTTTAAGTTACAAGGCATCAGTAACTTTCCCGTTCTTGTTACCTCAACAGACAAAAACCAATTGAACAAAACCACATTGAGCAAAAGATACTCGCAGAGATCTTTTCAAACTCAATGCTCAAAAAGTACCTGTATTCCCTCTCCACTCCCCAAAGGAACATCCCGCATGCCCACAGAAACATTATAGATCCCGCAGTTCACCGCATCCCGACATATCCCCGTACAGATAGTTCCATGTCGGTTCCTGGAATATTGTCAGCAATCCCGTGGGATAGATATGCTATAGTTGAAAGTATTTCCTTTGAAAGGGCAATAAAAAGAGCCAATAAAATTCAGGATTGTCTATCGCAGTCTATGTGAGAAATGGAAAAGGTGGCATATTTTACTTTTATGGTCAAATATGAAAATGTTATTAAGGGAACTACATATTTTGAATGGCGGTGTTAGATTCGTGTTCAATTTAAATGGGCATCGCAGTCTGCGATGATTATTATTATGCACGTGTTTTTTCGTTAAAATTAGTTTTATTCTTTACTATAAAAAATATAAAGGTCTCATAAGCACAAACTCTTTGCCCGCGCGCCTGGCTGGCGAGAAACTTCTTTTTAATTTAGTTCTTTTGCGATTGTCATTTGTTTTTTCTCTTCACTTTTCTACCTTTGGCATTAATGATAAGGTTATTACGTTAGTTTTTGTATTCATAATGTTCATTTTGTTTATCGTAAAAAGCTTTACAATTATTTAATACGAGAGTATTTCAGTTAATTGCCAGTTGTGTTTAACCAATACTTCATCCTGAGTAACAAAATCTCAATAAATTATCATCCTGCGTATCAAATATACCTAACTTTAACTTTCTAATAAAAAAAAACATATATTTACCAAGACAGTCAAGTTAAAATAATAAGCCTTATTTTTCCCAGGAAATACTTATTATTGATTCTTTTTTTGTACAATATTGTCTGATTGTTCCAGATCTGCCGAGGTTCGTGGGTCCAGGGTCCAACGTCACGGTGGCCGTGGGAAGGGATGCCGCGCTCACGTGCAGGGTCGACAATCTACAGACGTTCAAAGTGAGTGCCATTATAACTATTAAGTAACTTTAGATGTGTGAACAGAACTTTAGATAGTGAAAGCAGCAGTGGGAGACGGCGTATGTGACGGCACCAGATAGTTGCCAATAGAGAGAGATGGAGGGAGATCGTGCGGAGAGTTGTATCCGCCTCTACAACCGATGTGAACAACGCCTCAACGTGACCACGACCGCTCTGCCAAGAGCGTAACGAATAAGAAGAAGAAGAACTTTAGATAGGGTAGCGACCACATCACACGACACGCTAAATGTAGAGTCCGTGCCAATTGAAACTGGAAATAAAGTTACCTTACATCGAGCTTCTGTCTTTAGTGAATTGAGTAAAAATAAGTTTTGCAAAGTGAAGTAATATTGAGGAAACTGACGCCCGTATTCACATACATTACTATGACGTCTCACGACGCACAGGGTCACACGTTAGCCAATTACAGAGCTCTATTCAAAGATGTACGTTCGATTTGCTGTGTCACTTAAACAAGCATCGTTTGTGAATAGGGGTGTGAGACACTAGCTTTTTTTGAGTCCATTTTTGTCTCTATATTTATTACAAAACTAGCGACCTGCTCCTGCATTCACAGGTACAATGTATTATGCTTAAAAATATTTCTCTTGAATCACTCTATCTATTAAAAAAACCGCATCAAAATCCACTTCGTAGTTTTAAAGATTTAAGCATACATAGGGACAAACAGCGGAAAGCGACTTTGTTTTACTATGTAAATGATGATGTCTAATCTATTGGTACAGCCTTACTTGCCACATCCCTGAGGATCTCATTTGCTATCATAGATGTTACATGGCTTGATTGCTGATGCATGCGGCATACATTAACGTATATATTAACACGGAAGTGACCATACAATCAAGTACCTACGTGATTGCTTGTTATCATATGTTATTCCGTTTATCCTTGTGACGAATGTCATAAATGGGAATTACCATAAAGTATTGAAGCACTATAAAGGCTCTTTCAAATTAGACGTTTTAAGGGGGACGGTTATCGTCCGTGCAAGTCCGTGCACTTAGGTAGAATTGCACCATCTTACTTTGACAAACGTCAAAAATCTGTCAAACTCTATACAAAAACCACCGGTTATCGTTATAGTTACAGTTAAAGTAAGGTGGTGCAACTCAGCCTTACCTACTGTAGGTGCTTTTCAATTTTTTTCCAAAGCAATTTTATCATACAATTTTACATGTGCGGTCCTACAAATGGACGACAACCCGTCTCAAAACGTCAATTTGAAAGACTCTAGGCTCACTTGTGCAACTAATTCAAAACTTCTATAGGTCAGCGTTTCCACCTTCAACTACTATACTGTGGAGTAGTCCCAAACAGCCGAGTAACTTTCATACACAATAGTCAATGATTAATATTAGTTTCCGCACATTTCCCTTTTATTCTTTCGGCCAACTCCGTATAAGTTGCTCGCACGCACGGAAAAGTAATTTATAGAATTAATTGGCAGCTATATTTTCAATTACACACGAGTTTACATAGTACGCGAGGATAATGGTAGGCTCTTATCGAGAGCAAATTTATTTAAGCCACTATTATTAAAACTCAGTGATGAGGGTTGTATAAACAGCGACTGTGTATTCTTAATTAATTCAAAAGATTCAGTTGTTGCGTTTATAAAAGCTGAAGAAAAATCTCGCTTGAATTACGAGTACAACTGTAATGGAGAAGAAACAAAAGCTACCTATTGACGGAGTTCAACGGTTAGTGTGATGAAATGCACTTGCCAACTTTAAAGTAAATCTTATTTAAGTTAGTTTTTAAAGTAAGTCAGTACTAACTTTAAAAATTAACATACTATTCTATACTATTCGTTATTATCGAACGACACCATGCTTAATGATATAAGTAGAAGAGTTAAATACCTTCCCACTTTGTGATTATCCTCCTGGGGCCCGGGAATTATTTTTATCGTGAATTCATATGAAAACTATCCAAATAGTATTAATAATTGATATAATTATCTTAAAAAATAAAATAAAAATTTTTATCTGGAAAACGGCAATTTTCTCAATGTCATATATTTACGACATCGGTTCCCAATGTCAACGACTTTTTTATTTCATGTACAGGATTTCCCGTAATAAATTGCACAAAAGTAATTCCTAGTTAAGTTTCTTGACTATCTACAACGAATTTGAATCGATTTTTGAAATATACCTATTGAGATGCCAAAATATTTTTTACATATTTTTAATGTTTTTTCTGCCTGTACTTACTCTTTTCTATGCAGTGGATGCAAATGTTGATATTTTTTAAGTACATTTTCGGTAAAATGTAGCTAGATAGATTCTTTATCAAGTTTTATGTCATTTTTGGGCAATAACATTGCATCTCTATTTTTTTTTAAATAGTATTTCAAAATTTTATTGCATTTCATATGGATGACTCAAATTAAAAAATCCTCGTGATAAAAAAATGCATCACACCAATGTGTAATTAACATTAAGTGATGTAGATAAGGTCAATAGCAATAAAAAAATTAAAAAACCATTTGATTAAGTGCCTAATGAAATTATTTTAATTTCATAAAAAAAAACAAAGTGACTTGAGGTGTTGATAATACTTCTGGGCCGACTTTACCAGTAAAACCGAGTTTTGAGTGTTCTAATATGTTATATTCGCATATATCTACCTAAACAAATAAGAAAATAATATCAGATTGTATGCTATATAATAGAAAATGTATAATGTCATACAGGTATTACACTGGGCTCTGTCAGTTTACACTAGTAATTGGGACCTCATGTAATACCTGTATGACATTCAGATTTCACCATGGTTTTCGTAGTTTTCATACGTATTTCCACAATCAGTGATACTCAGATAATAAAACAGTTCAAATCCCAAAACGAATAATAACAAAGGCTTATAGAAATCATTCATATTTTAGTAAAAAATTCATGATTACTAACCACTTGTTCCCGGTCGCGGCGCCGTCGCTAGTTCAATTAAAGATAAAAAAATATAAATGTCACTTCACTAGCCAATCACAGCTAAGAATGATGGACAGATGCACCATCTAACTAACTAACGTAAAAGTTCTGGTAAATTTCAACAGATAGCGTTGATTTATATTTTTTTGTTTTATGTAATAAATATATGACGCCAGGCCCCAGGAGGATTATGTATTTCTCAGTTTTGTAGACGCAATGACTACTTATCATAATAATAGTGTTTAAGATTTTCCAATTTCAGGCGCCTTTTCTTTTGAGAACCGTTAAAGTACTAGGTACCTAATTTTATCCATTCTGTCAACATCTCTAAGGCTGAGTTGCACCATCATACTTTAATTTTGACAAACGTCAAAAATCTGTCAAATTCCATCCAAAAAACACTGGTTATTGTTAAAGTTACGAACAAAGTAAGTTGGTCCAACTCAGCCTTAATGTTTTGGTTTAGCATGACAGTTGAGTAGTTCACTGGTGAGTATCTTTGACCTTTATATTCTGACCGTTACGCGTAAAGGCAATGCTACTGAATCTATCTAGCTCGTAACTCGTTCGTGAGCTATCTCATTAGTCGGTAACGACTGCAAACGAGTTACAGTGAGGGCACTAATGAAGTCAAGGCGCAGCTCATGTATCTAGTTCATAAGTCGAGATCGCGCGTAATGAGAAACTTGCCGGGGGCACTAATTAGACCAATTTTCTCTCGCTTATGTTGATTAAGGTTTCCAAAAACTAAATGGAAGGTTTTGAAACGTTTGATTGACGACTCGTTAAATCACGATAGTAATATAAATCTATTTACTAAGTCTTCCTAACCTCTAACGTTAGTAGTCCCAGCTAATAGAAGCAGAGTGAATACTCTCTGAATTTGGCAACGTACTTAATGTCAGCCCTCAATGAACAATAACGTCCACTTTCGTGAAAGCGGAAAGAGTTCTCTTGTATTTATTTGAATTAAATCTTCTTTTCATGTCTTGATGTGATTAAAAACATCATCGACGATCGTCTTTTGTTGTAATATCCAGGACATAATCTGATATTTTTACGGCAGAGCTCTGTTCAGAGAGCAGAGAATCTGTTTACGTTATGACTAAATAAATATTTATGACTAAGATTGAGGTACTCGTACTTCTTCTTCATATCGTGTCGAAAACAAACCTACACACAGTCAGCCCAAAACTCCGCTACAAGAGTGGCGTTGTCAGCAGCGTTCACTAAATCCTCTTGCATACAGTTGCTCGGGCACTCAGGGCACAACATCATGTGCTTCATCGACAGGGGAACAAAACCGCACCTGCACTCCATGTTTGAAAATTGTGCTAAATGTTTATCATAAGTCAAAGATTTTGGTATCCATCTTGGTCGTTTCTTATTTTTTCAAACTTCAACCGTAGTAATATCTTGAACGTTAGCTATGCGACAGCCAACTGCAGTCCGGATTGAAACTAATGTCGTGGCGAGCGACTGAGACAAATGCTCAGCGAGGTCCATTAGGTAGCTGGGATAAGTCTCATCCTAGCTGAGAAATACCTAGATACCTTCGCTGTCAGAACTAATGGAAACCACAGAATTTGGAACACAAAGACATAAATGAGACCCACTTCCTTTTGTTTAATTCTGATAAGGAAAAAATGTTAATGGTGATAATTCCAGCTTTAGTTATACGGTTGTCCCGTAAATTAAGAACAACCTTACTACCACATAATTTGCACATCACGGTGAAAATCTTTTTTTGATCTATGACTTTTGCAATTTTGCATAAAAATAACTCGTCTTCCCATACAAGTATCAAACAACCGATTGAATTTGTATAAAATAATAAAAAAATATGTTTTTTTTTTAAAGTCATCAAGAACAAAAGTTGGTTACCACGATGTATAGAATATGTGACAGGAAGGTTGTCCCCAATTTACAGGACATCCTGTATAAGTAACAAATACCTATAGGACCGAAATTTATTATGAATTCAAAAACTTCTGATTGTTTTTTAGGGTTCCGTAGCCAAAATGGCAAAAACGGAACCCTTATAGTTTCGTCATGTCCGTCTGTCCGTCTGTCCGTCTGTCCGTCTGTCCGTCTGTCACAGCCGATTTACTCGGAAACTATAAGTACTACAGTGATGAAATTTGATGGGAATATGTGTTGTATGAACCGCTACAAAATTATGACACTAAATAGTAAAAAAAAGAATTGGGGGTGGGGCCCCCCATACATGTAACTGAGGGATGAAAATTTTTTTTCGATGTACATACCCGTGTGGGGTATCAATGGAAAGGTCTTTTAAAATGATATAAAGTTTTCTAAAAAACATTTTTCTTAAAGTGAACGGTTTTTGAGATATCAGCTCTCAAAGTCGTAAAAAGTATGTCCCCCCCCCTCTATTTTTATAACTACGGGGTATAAAATTCTAAAAAAAATAGAGGTGATGCATGCTAATTAACTCTTTCAACGATTTTTGGTTTGATCAAAGTATCTCTTATTTTCCTATTAAGCCCGCTACTTAGAAATTACTAAAGTACATCACAATCGTTAAGAATTAATCTGTGCCCTTTGAGATTGGTGAAATTGCAAAACTGAAACTTTCCACTCGACGATTTACGGCGACTTACCAAAGAATTTCCTTCAACCAATTTAACTCCGTAATTAGATTTCGAATACACTTTTGCGATTACGATAAATTAAGACGAAAGATTTCACTTTTTGCTTACACAGCTTTTTATTTTATACGGCACTTCGCTTAAATGTTGGAATTTCTTTAATCTAAACCATTTACTTTGATATCGTATGATTAAAACGTCACGATGGAATTTCATGAAAGATGTTATTAAAATCATTTCCTTAGCATAGCTTATATGTAACTTAAAAATTATTTATTCTAACAAATAAACAGAAAATCTTTTATTTTTTTAAACCTATTACCACAGATAGCTACCTACTTAACCCTTAACTGGTATCGTAAATTAGACATACGTAACTGGTATCGTGGGGGCCGCGCGGCCCCCATACTATGTTTGCTTCTAGCAAGCATGTTTTGCCTATATACTTGAATAAATGTTCATAAATGATAAATATCAGGCTCGTTCTATGTAATAATTGAGTTTATATTTTATTAAATCTTCCTACTTATATACTTCAAGACATTACATAATAGTAACGACTTTTTACGTAATATTTTTTAACGTTTAAAATATCTATGAAACCTTTCGTTTAGAAAGTTATAACAAAAAATATTATTATTTTAATTAATCCATAATAATGTGAACTTAATATTGAACAACGTTTTAATGTAATGTTTTATAAAAATAATTAGTATTTTAAATAAATAATAACATAAATATTATGTTGACAAACTTTTGCAGGTGCTGGTGGATTTTAATACCACTTGTATTTATTTTTTCATAGTAGCTGGATTGACTAGGTCCTACAACATCTTAATTTTCACTCTCTGAAGAAAAAACTTCAAAATCAGAATCAATTTCCTCATTATCGACCGAATATTGGTTATAGGGTCTTCACAAAGACCTATAATTTTACTGTCTCTATATTCTTCTTTTGGCATGCTAGTAATCACTAATTTGGATTCAAAAACTTCATTCTAGGTATCTTCTATTGTTTTATCACTTAAAAGTCATAAATACTGCAAAAAACAAAAAACAAATAAAAATTGCCATGAAAAAAAAACTAACGTAACTGGTATTGTGGGGGCCGCGCGGACCCCAACACGTGCATATCTTCGTCCTGGTGAATGATGCAGTGCTGAAACACCTGCATCAGACGCGAGTAGCGCCGAAATGAGAATACCAAAAATTTTGGCTGCCCACGATGCGTAGCTTCTTAGAAATCAAAGAAAACGTCATGCGTGGGGGCCGCGCGGCCCCCACGATACCAGTTCAGGGTTAAGATACATAGATACTTTCATAATTTATAAAATTTAAGACAAACAGCATAAAATTGTATTGTATTCGAATCATATTAGCTGAATAGATATTCATTCAAAGTCAAAGTCATTGAAAGCCATTTATTTGGAACTTCAGCAATTAATAATTGCTTGCTCTATTTACCCTCAACAAAGGCAGTTGTTAATGGAAATTACTAACGAATTTGGTCGTGATGCATAGACTTAAATAGGTTATGCTACTAGATACGCTATTGATTGTTTATAATTTTAACTTAACATTAGATTAAAATAATGAAACTTCAATCAATTAAAACGCCATGAAACAATTTTACTAACAATAGCTTTTGCTCGCGGCTTCGCCCGCGTTAATTTCATCCATTATATTCTATGTTCACCAGAGTAATGTAGAAATTTTGATTGTGAAAGGTTTTTTCAAATAGATCCAGTGGTTTTGGAGTCTATTCAATACAAAGAAACAATAAAATCTTTCCTAATAAGTTTAGATTGAAATAAATTGGGTCTCAGCCGCTACCAATCAAGCAAGGGATAATGAAATCTCAGTCTACATTTATAATTTCTCGTTTCAAGAACTTGCTATCAATTTTGGACAAAGATATTGGCAATGACAGCTGCTCTTTAATTCAATTTGTGATTTCGAATGTTACTTATTAAAATGTGACATGTACGAAAAACAATTTTTGTTGCGATGACAATGTTTTTCCATTGCGTATTTTATTACTACAAACTTCAGGCCTTCACCCATGTAAACTTTAACCAGTGATTTGCGCACATTCTACTTCCTACTAATATTATAAATGCAAAAGTAACTCTGTCTGTCTGTCTGTCTTTTTCACGCCTAAACCACTGAACCGATTTTGATGAAATTTGGCATAGAGATAATTTGAGTCCCGGGAAAGGACATAGGATAGTTTTTATCCCGGTTTTTGAAACAGGGACGCGCGCGATAAAGTTTTTCTGTGACAGACAACATTCCAGGTGGGCGAAGCCGTGGGCGGAAAGCTTGTTCTTAATATTTTTTCTGAGTCATACCTAACTATACATTGATATGCTGATTTTATTGTTAACTAGCTGACCCGGCGAACTTTGTTCCGCCTTAATGGCAATAAATAAGCAGACTTTTTTGTTTAATTTCGAACGGGATAAAAAGTATCCTATGTCCTTCTCCTGGCTCTAAACTACCTCCCTGACAATTTTCAGCTAAATCGGTTCAGCCGTTCTTGAGTTATAAGTCGTGTAACTAACACGACTTTCTTTTATATAGGTACATAGATTTAAAACAATTTTTAATAATAATACGGATCGAAAAGTAATCTTTGATATGACTACGACTTCATTAGAAACGAAATCGCCCGCCTTCAGTCGATCTAGAGTAATTTACGTTTATCTAAAGCTGAGTGCTCGGTGTAGCCATCCCTTTGGAGCGAATCTACATAAACCAAGTCTGAGTTATTACTGTGGATCTGCCGTTACGTCACATGGACGTTCGTGGTCTGTGGTACGAATTGTCTTCGTACAATTTGCTTCTCTGGTTTGAGACGATATTGTTTAGTTTTTTAGATGTAGCAGAAAAGGTGTTTAAAATGTTTAAGTAGAGACCCTACCTTTATGGTTTCAGAAACCGGTCATGGCCAAATAAATGAAGAATAAATGAGGACGTAACAGCAAGAGCTTTAAAATTGTTTATATAGATACCTTTTGGGTTTCAGAAACCGCTCATAGACAAAAATGAAGACTAAAATAATGAAAAAAAAAACTTCAATATTTATCTATAGCTAGGTCTAATTGTGAAACAATGTTTTTATTTGCGTTGAGATCGAATCTCTAACGGTTTATTAATTAAATCTTTAACCAGCTTTTGTCCGCGGCTTAGCTCGCGTTTCGTCCCCTAGAGTGAATTTTGGATAATCCTTTCTAAGCGGATAATATGCCTACGTCATAATGTGCCTCAGCGCAATCCTTTGGTACAGTCCTGTTGTTCCCCTGGTTGGTTTCAAAAGAATTTAAATCCTGCATCAATCCGTTCTGTATTAACTGCCGTTTATGATATTAATTTGTATATTTATTGTCACCAGGTGGCGTGGCTCCGCGTGGATACGCAAACCATCCTGACCATCGCGGGCCACGTGATCACCAAGAACCACCGCATCGCCGTCAGCCACGGCGACGGCGCGTGGACGCTGGCCCTGAAGGACGTGGGCCCGGCGGACGGCGGCCGCTACATGTGCCAGGTCAACACCGAGCCGATGATGAGCCAGACGCACCAGCTGCAGGTCGTCGGTCAGCAGATGTGGTTCATATTATAGCTTAGTTTAGATTAAGTGCTCCAAGCCCGTCAGTCATAGGACCAACCCTATTCTTCTCCTGAAGATCATAAGAGGCGACTAAGGGCAAAATGTGCAATCAGGCCTGCCCAAACTGTCTGGCCAGCGTGGGGAGTGTAGGCCAATTCACATGGCGACCAGACTTTTAAATGCATTGATCGCCATCGCTGCACACCGGCTGATCGCGTGTGATTGCGTTGGTTTTGCTGAACCTTTAGCGGTTCGTTAATAATAAGTAGGTAGGTAATGATTATACAAACCACCTTTGGGTCGCACGTTCCACAAATAAGTTTTCAAATATCAGTGCCACGTTCGACTAAAGATCCCGTTTAGTTCGCCATCCCTCAGCTGCACTCAAACCACACCGCCCAAAGTTTCGGTTCCGCAAGATTCTTAATGATATCCCGTACCTCGCCAAACCTCAGGCGTGACTGAGCAGAAACAATCCTAATGACACGAACACACTGCGGAGTTGCCACGTCACGCCGCTGCAGCTTCTTAACTGTTGCAAACTTTGGGTTGCTAAGCGTTTTGGAGCGGGAAATTTCACGTTACCAATTTTAAAACGTCTACGAGGCAACGCTTTGTACATTAGTGTCGAGTAGGGAGTATAGTGGAGTGTGAATTGCTGTTTTTGGTCCTATATTTTGGTGGATATTTTAAATCTTGGTATTTAGGACTGTAACATGTTACAAATAATTGATTTTCTTTTTTTTTGTAGTTGTTTTTATACTAATTCTGGAGCGGCAAAGTCTATATCTGCTATGTTTTTTGACATAGAAAATCATAAACAAGTACGCTTTCAAAAACAGTTCTTAGTACGAGTAGCAACGGAACTTATCAATCGAGTGTACAAAACGCATATGTAATAGGAGAATAATAATATGCATGTACCTAGAAATAATTATTTTCTAAACAGTCATAATCTAGAGAATGTAACAAGACATATCTTGCCAACAGTTCCACCAGACATAGACGACGACGCCAGCAGCAGTGAAATCCTTATCAAAGAGGGAGAGAACGCCGCGTTGCGATGCGTTGCGTCCGGCACTCCGCCGCCCACCGTCGCGTGGAGGAGAGAGGACTCCAGGCACTTCAAGATCGACAACCAGACGTTGGGTAAGAACATTTTGGATCTATTTAATCACATCTTTGAAAAAAAAAATTTTTCATTAAGAATACACAAAGATACGGTTAAAAAAATAAAGCAGACAGCTAAGTTTAAAACTTTTTAACGGCCCTTCTACACGTGATTTCATCTACTCACGTAGTCGTACTATACGAGCTAAGAATAGAAACGTAATGTAGTTTTGTAACTACACCCAAAACTTGCTTGCTACATACAATACTGTCAAAGTTTAATACCTGCCGTATTATGCATAGATAATATCAGCAGGTTGTTCACATCTAAATAGTATGAAAATAATCAAAAGATCATAAGAGATTATGGAAAAGTACATTCCTAGTTTTCTACTTCAGTAAAATAGTTTTATTTAAAAAACATGATTTGCATACAGCACGGTATACCGAAGCATCCATGTGTTACGATAATATGGGCGCACAAGCATGTTTCGGCAAATTATTCGCATGCAAATTAATTAACATTGTATTTCAACATAGCGCCTCGGCATAACTGATTTACCTACAAATGTATGCAGTCTTAGCGCAAAAACATTTATTACTTTAAAACTCTATTGTTAGCGAACAAAAGGAGAAGTTAACAGGTGTGCCGCATAGATAGTAGTCGACTAACTAACACTTATATCGTTTAAAGAGACCATGAAATCTTTGTCATTATTTAGTAAGTGCACTGCGCATTTTGTTTCAGTAATTATTTTAGGTAGGTAGGTTCGTAGGTATACCTACGGTGGATATTCGCGGTTAGATAGGTAATGTTAATTCTAGCTTGGTTACCAAAAGTCTTTATCAATAAGGCTGGGTGGCACGCCATCTTACTTTAACTGTGAAAAATGTAAAAAATCTGTCCAACTCCATACAAAAATCACCGGTTATCATCATCATAGTCTGGGTCTGCGGGTGTCTATGGGCGACGGTAATCACTTACTGTTCAATANATCTGTAATAGACTCAAGAGAGTAAGGAAGCGTCATCAACACCATGTCCAATGTAATACCATCGATACCCTGAGCATGTGATTTCAGTGACTTAATAGTTTTTAACACAACATCACTGTCCACAGAACGTAACGAGAAACCGGCAGAGGCATTAAATCTATGATGCTCATAGTAAGTTAGTTGGGAGATGTTAACCCCATTCTCGCCCGGCACATCTAGAAAGTGTGAATTTATTGTGTTTGGGTCAGTGAAAGTCTGTGAGAGGTCAGCTGTGTCCTTTTTACTTGTTAAAACTGAATTCTTTAAGTTTTTCCACAGTGTCCCTGAGTCTGATATTTTACTATTGATGTGTTGTGTAAAGTAGCAAGACTTTTCCCTATGAATAGCCTTTATCACCAGGTTTTTCNTTAAAATGGGTCATAATAATAAAATTTATGTAAGGTCTTATACCAAATTGTGTCCTTTACCCTTGCAAGACATCTAATATGTTTATTGTCATTTGTATTAAATAAATTAAAAGTAAATAAGCATAACAAATATAAAAATAAAATGTAACAAGTAGTATAATAAATAATTTAAAAGTAAATATAACAAAGGTAAAAATAAAGATGTAACAATTAACAAAATAAAATAAAAAGGCACTAACTTAGAATACTTTATTAACATATAATTAGCATTTCATTATTGTAGATGTTAAGAATAAGTTTAAGACATAATGATGTGTTATGGTTTACAGTATTAGACAGTATGTCTGTCACTTAAATTAAAAATGGGCTTTACTTTCTAATTAGGTATATCAATAATTGTTTTTGTAACTCAGTGCCCGCCCCAACTTATGTTCAATACGGAACATAAAAATTAAAAAAGTTAAAAATATTGTCTATGATTAGATTGGTCTTTGCTCTATGCTCTCTCTTCTATTTTGGAGCNAGTCCCGATCCTTTTATATTTTCTGTGATAGTTGTCCCTGATGCGCATCATATCCCTAATCGTGTCCGTCAGCCATGGATGGGGAGGGTGTTTAAATTTGCGTGTTTTTAAGGGTGCATGAAGGTCCATGAGGCCTGTGACACAACCGGTGAAGGCAGCGACAAGACTGTTTACAGTATCACAACGTTTTAGGCTGTGCCAATCTATAGCGCAGAGATCTCGATCAAGTAGTTCCTGGACCACATCACCAAGCGGCNAGTGTGTGAAAGAATCTTGATTAACAAAAAGCGCGTGAACAATTTCGCTTGTAGGCCCCGGCGAGATTCGAACTCACGACCTCCTGTTTACTAGACAGGCGCTTTAACCAACTAAGCCACGGCGCCTTCATGTAGAAAACATGAACATTATTTTTGCATGTCTTGTAGACGAAACTCATGTTGAACCTGATTGTTTTTATCTGACATCTGTATTGTACCATGTTACTGTGCAAATAAATGAATTTGAATTTGAAATTGTACGAGACAAAACAAAAAAGAAAGTATGATAATAATATAACTTTTTTCTAAAGCCTGTGGGTCTAGACAAAGTGCAAATTTTAATCGCAAACCAGTCGAAAAGTGGTCGAAAAGCCCCTTTTTTAACCGACTTCAAAAAAGGAGGAGGTTATATGTTCGACTGTATGTATTTTTTTTTTCTATGTATGTTCACCGATTACTCCGTCAATTGTGAACNACTTACCATCAGGTGATCCGTCTGCTCGTTTGCTCCCTGTCACAAAAAAAAGGTACTGTCAAAATAAGGTAGTGCAACTCAGCCTAAATGTGCAAAAAGATCTCAGTTGAGCACAATATAGATGTCAGGGTTGAAAATGTCGCAGTATTGCAGTTGACACTATTATAGAAGGGATGCCAAAATGCTCAGCACCTTTGTAGTAAAATTTCAAAGACCACTTTTACTTCCATTTTCATTGACAGATAAAATAAGTGCATAAATTCACTAGTTGTGGCATAGAAACAATATAAAACAAGCTTAGAATAAAACTGATTTAGCTTATTGATATTATTTTCCAACAAATTACATTAGATGAAATTTCTAAATCATGATGCTAGGATGTTATTTTTTGCGAAGTTTGAAAATTAGTTCTACTCGCAAGAAAAAAAGCCCGTACCAATGTTCATTTCAAACTATTTTCTCTGCTTTGATTAGTTTTCAGCGGAAAAGTCTATTAATGTTAAAATAAATATGTAACGGTTCACAGAGAAAGACACGTTTACAAACATAGCATAAATTAAATTACATTGCACACTCAATTGCTTCAACTCAGTTACGCAAATTGAATAGTTTATTTTAACTTAAAGTTGGACCGAGCAAGCAGAGAATAAACAAAGCCAATCACAGAACTAATTCACTGTGTATCAATTAACAGTACCTATAGTTTTATCCCGGGCTCACAGTCTCCGTAAATAAAGCACTGCGAGGCAAAACTGTCACAGTGCCCCGCAGAGCGCGAGAACGGTGCAACAACAAACTGTAGCCAAACAATACCGAAACTTTTGTTGCCGTGGCTACAAATTGAATGTAAGCTCACTTATTTATAGAGTCCACTCGACGAAGTTTTTCAGCCGAAAACCGAGCCGAAACTGTTTTGTTTTGTTTGAATAAACATACAGATTACATAGGTGCAGTCATTGCCCGTTGATAGAGTTGTTTTCAGCTAACATTTACGGTTAACTTTAATTCATTTAGTGTAATAAAATATCACTGTTTATCGTTTGGGACCCAGATATTATTTTGTCGACAGTTAAGCACAGTAACAGTGTTTCTAAGATTGAAGTCCACTTGGTTCATATTCCTATCTCAGTTCAGCTATTTACATTTAATTTAATAAAGTTTTTAAAAGACTTCAACTAAACTAAAATAATACGTTTCTTGGCCGAAACATGTCCCCAACACTAACCATTTGCATCATTTAAAGAATTTCCCGGCGATTGCAGCGCTAAGCGTTCGGAACTAACTAAATAATTAAACTGCGTTAAATAAATACAGCAGCTTTAAACTAATCTCATTTAATTACTCATAAACCAGACTCGCATTCCCCATTTTGTGTGAGATTATGCGACGCGTAATCACTTTTGAGTCGTACACACAAGGTTTACTTTGCTTTAGCAAATGCAACTCACGTTATAATGGTCACTAATACGCTGATATTTGCACCACAATACAGACATACGTTGGCAGCGATGTCATAATAACTCTATGACATTTTCTGGAATAGCTGGTGTTTTACTACGGAGCTACGGCCCCATATGGTTTTAACGGCGCAACTAAATAACATCTACACTCGTGTTGTTTTATGATGTTTTTATACAATATTTTTATGATTCTATGTAGGTACATAGTTTTTAGTATGTTAAATGAACTCGTAAATCTTCGAAATGAAACTTATTTATTCAAACAAAAACTTTTGTACTAAAACGTGAGGTTATGAGATTTTAGTATAAAAATACATACATACTCATCGAAATTATTTCTTATGTCGAAATTTCTATTGCGCGTAGTTTCAATTTCGCAAGTACACATTATGTATCAAGACGAGAAGCTAGTGGTGGTGGTTCTAGTGGTGAATGTAAAATTCCTTAAATCTTTATCTTAAAAAGAACCCAATGGAGTTAAGACTCTTTTAAACAAAAATAATAAGCTACAACTTTATAGTTTTATCTGCACCGTGCAGGCTCCCAATCCGAAAAACAATTTGCGCAATTCTTGGCGATCGCGGATTGCCGGCAAAGCGGACTGTTTAATGCGACTACACAACACTACGACACCTGCTAACGAGAATGTTTGCTGAGAATGAGAATGTACTTGATTGTAGATTCGTGCATTCTCTTGATTGTAGATAGCTGTTGTATTATAATTTGGTAAGATACACTGTGTATCGTATTGAATTTTAGTGTAGATAGATAGAATTTCGACCGACGATCTCGTAAAGGTCGCGCGAAGAGCCTGGATGCGGGCAGCGCAGGACCGTGCATTGTGGAAAACCTTGGAGGAGGCCTTTGTGGACGTCATTTGGCTGAAACGAACGAACGAACGAAGATAGAATTTAACATTAAGAATGAAAGTGAGTTTTTGAAGTTGTTTCAATTTCGAATGGAATTTAAAATTATTGTGTTAATCCAGCAATTGGTACCTTATGTTACGCTCATAACTGAGTCAGTGCCTGGAGTATGGAAGCGGCACGGGACGGGTGACATTGACATAATTATTATGACGTGCCAGAGCATACAAATCTAAAGCAAATCTGACGTCTCGCTGACGTCTGACGTAGAAACATCCTCCTGTGCCGCTCTCATACCTCAGGTACTTTACTCAGTTAAGCACTACAACTATAGTAATGTAACTTTGGTGTAATTTACTTATAGCATTAATTAAGATTTTCTCGGAAATCCATATAATTATGTACGGGTATGTATTTGAGATCGGATATTTAGTCGTTAATTAATTATGATCAAAGATTAGATTAGACATTCTCTTGCTCAATTAATAACCCTAACTTGAGCGTTCCTCCCTTTAAGACTTCATATTCATCTTCACTTACGTTACGATGTACCATAGAGAGTGAAAGAGGTCAAGTGGACTAAATAAAAATAATTTTATTGACACAGAAAAACATATAGTAGGTACAGGACCAAGAAATGGTAGGTACACTGTGCCAACAGGCCCACCGCTCAGCATTTATCGTGATATGCTCAAATTTCTTGACATGCCCGTTTATAGAATAAAATAGCTATTTCAGACTAAAATTGTAGCAAAGTGAAACTGAATATTCAAATTATTTCCAACCTGTCTTGCAACTACGAAGTCTCATTACGGCAAAACAAATGCACACTCCATATTAAAATATGTTTATTTGGCACAGAATTCATGTGCATGTTAAAGCGTTGACAACCGAAAGTTGCCGACAGCTCGCAACTTTGCTCGGTTTCGTTTTGTTTGGCCTACATGAGCTTACAGTTTCAAATAAATAATTATTTATTCCTACACTGGAATACTAATGAAATAACTTCTGTAACGAAAATAATAAAATTACACTTATCTTTGTATTTTTGGGAGTTTGTAACTCATTAGAGAAAAGTTGGGAGAAGTGTGTTCTTTTTGTGGAAATGAAAAAAATAATTTTGCATTAATACATAAATAATTACTAGTGCCTGCGACTTCATTAGTGGGAAAATTTGACTGAAAAGTTGTACACGTTTCAAAATTTTACTCTACATTGAAGGGTAGAACATTTATCACGAGGAGAGGGATGTTATATTTTTGTCATTTGTGCTGTAATACAAAAAAGTAGTTGAAATAAAAAATATGCTGAAGAACTGTCTTGCATCGATCGTTCGTTCGTTTCAGCCGACAGACGTCCACTGCTAGACAAAGGCCTCCCCCAAGGATTTCCACAAAGATCGGTCCTGCGCCGCTCGCATCCAGGCACCTCCCGCGACGTTCACCAGATCGTCGGTCCACCTAGTGGGAGGCTTGCCTACGCTACGTCTTCCGGCTCGTGGTCGTTACTCATGAACTTTCCTGCCCAAGCGGCCATCAGCTCTACGAGCTATAATAAAAATATATTGAAAATAAAAATACTGCCACTTGAATAGTAATATTGTTCCTTGATCCATTTCACAATGACCATCACATCCTCAGCACATCGTACACAATGAATCCTAAATCTTTTCAGCAGAACAATAAATTATCCTAAATGATCTCTCCCAACCGACCGTGCCGCGGCCGAAACCGATTAATTTGATCAATTAACCGTTCGATTAAGTGATATCGGCTACTTGCGTCGAATTACTTTCGCCGGGCCAATTGTGCCTGCGGGACGGACGTAATGTAACCACATGAAAGGTTATTGAGTTTCACGGTATTTTACGAACCGAATTTTCGGTGGAATCTAAACAACTTAATAGACTTAAATCCACAAGGTAGTTAGATATTCAGTGCGAGAAAACACGTTAAATGTAGAGTAAACATTATTATATTTGTGCAATTTAATAGAAAATGCTTTGCTTGCAGTATTTTACCAAAATCTAGCTTCCTTTTACCCTTTTCAAAGTTATAAAAATGAAGAAAATCCTTAGAGTCCGTCCTTATTAAAACAAAAATAGAAAATGTTTGGTTACCATAGCAGGAGCCAAATAATAAGCTTATCACCGTTAATAGTAACTTAAGATCCTCGTGGAGACAAAAAGGAGTAATTATAGATATGGATCTATTTATGACTGTTCTTTTTATTTATTATTATGACTAGATCCGTTCCGGCGTCGTATGGATGTCGTCCGGTTCCGTTTACTGTCGAAGACATTAAACATTTGCTTAGGACTTACTAAATACATTGTCTTTATTCAAGTCAATAAATCAATTACCTCGTAGGTACTCAAAGCAGATATTTTTTTTTGTATTGTATTGTGTATTGTATCTTAATAATTATAAAACTAGCGGCCGCCCGCGACTTCGTACGCGTGGATCCCATTTTACCCCCTTAGGGGTTGAATTTTGTTAAATCCATGCAAAATGTGAGACTCTTACCACTTGCAGTTTCTGAGATTTCGTAATGAGTGAGTTAGTCAGTCAGTCAATCAGTCAGCGACCTTTCGCTTTCATAGATAATCTATATTATAGATTTTAAACTTTCGCGTTCCTTTTCAAGTAAAATAGAGAAACACGGGTCTCAATGCGACATTTATGAAATACTTACCTAAGTATCTTTAATAACTTTACACCAGGTGCGATTGCGGTCAAATACCTGCCTTGTCTAGCATAAAAAAACTACCAAATTATAATTTCTTGACTACTCTCGATGGTCTTATCCAGAGTTCTGACAAGACTGCAATTCCCTACACATCCAAAATCTGTCAAATATTCAAGGGGTTGTAGCCTTTATGATTTTAAATTCAATACCTGGTCACCCTACCGGGAGCCAGGAATCGATTGGCTCATCCGGGCTTATAGCAACGCAATACCCGTCATTAGGGTTCCTCACAAAAACGGAACAAAGAAATCCCATCCCGGATCCGTATTGGGAACGAGATCCACTCGTTAGTAATCATTAGAGCTTTTATGTGTTTCTGATTCCATTGCAATTTTATTTTTATCGGTTTTTAAAAATTAAAACGTCGTTAAAATGAAATTGCTTCGGATATTATAATATTGTCTGCAAGATTAGTGAGATCCGGGCGTTTTCAAGGCGAGAGTGAATAGGCACTTACAGGGCAGATATGTACTATCCTAGACTGCATCCCACTTAACATCAGGTGCGATTGTGGTTATTGACTGCCTTGTTATGCATAAAAAATGGGTATATTTTCCGTATAAGTACGAATATCCAAGAAAATAAATTCCTTGTAATACCACCGAAATATTTTGACGTTACTCGGTTGTTTTTCCGGTGAATTATCTCTCCTTTCAAGTGATTTTCCGTGAACCATGTGTTTCCATAAAACAATCTCCCAGTAGAAACAACATTAACTTGATTATCCAGTAGGGAGAAAACTCGTAACGTGACATTATACACAAAAAAGCAATAAAGCATTATGAATTCTTTTCATACTATATTGTTGTATAATCATTTATTGAGTTTCATGACAGTCAGTTCTAAATGGTGTTTGCCTCTGTGGTCTAGTGTTAAGAGCACCTGTTTCAGACCCAGCGATCCCGAGTTCAATTTCCAGTGGGGGCAAAAGTTCAGCTTGGTTTGGTTAGGATACAGCTTATTCTAAGTCTGCCTGACCTAGTAGGGCCCAAAAGATAAGGAGACATGTAAATTGCCCCACAAAGGGCTACCTTTTCTTTTTTATTATCTACTATATTTTGACGTTCATGAGTGCCACCTTCTTAACTAAGCCTTTCAGCGTAACAACAATGTTAACAGTATTGTTGTGTTCCTCTGTGCTTAAGGATTCCAAGTGAATTTCTTTCCACCATCGGCCTGATCATCACTTTATTAGGTGTGATGCAGGAAAAGAGTTCCTCATCAAAATGTTCGTCCATAACTACAGTTATCTCTTATTGTTGCAGTATCAAAATGGACTGGCGACTGGTTAAACCTAACCGGGGTGGAGCGAGCGGCGTCGGGCGCTTATCTATGTATAGCTACGAACGGCGTCCCTCCCTCAGTGAGCAAGAGGATCCAGATCAATATTATGTGTAAGTTTTATTGACACTAATGGTTATAGTTAATTTTGTGGAGTAGAGTTTTCTGTGTTTCATACTGCTAAAAACACACTGATTGTGTAGTGTTCTGCGATCCATTACTCATGGAGAAAATGGTATCCCTTCAAAAACAATACTTGTCAAAAAAAACAAGTCTCGCAACTCAGTTGTTCGACGGTAAAAAGTTGTGAGATCCATGTAATACCAAGTCCAGGCCAGGAAATCTTTAACGTTTTACATAAATATATTGACTTGGCCATCGCACTAAATAATTTAATTTACACGTGTTTTCATGCGATGGCCAAGTCAATATATTTATGTAAAACGTTAAAGATTTCCTGGCCTGGACTTGGTATTACATGGATCTCACAACTTTTTACCGTAGAACAACTGAGTTGCGAGACTTGTTTTTTTTGACAAGTATTGTTTTTGANAAATTTGCTATAAAATATTCCGCCTGTTTTATTTAACAAATAGATATAGTAATAAGGAAATGTCAGATGTTAAAATCGACGATCATATGAATTACATGTTATCTGTAGGTGACAATGATCAATCAAAATTAGATTAAACTCATTAACACGAGCAGTGGCCTTCGTAGATTTGTATATTATAAATATTCACATTCGATGCTGTGTTTAAGTAAGTTAGTGAGGCGTGTATATCTTATTTTGTAGGACGATTTCGTTAAATACGGTACAAATACAACGTGTACTAAATTGAATGAATGCAAAAAATCTTGTTTCTTCGGAAACGATTAATCTTGAAAAACCATTTTAGTTATTGAAAATAAATACGAATAGGTATTATGCTAAAAATATGGTCTGTTTGAGTTTTGTCGCTATTACAACAACACATTGTTAAATCGCATAAGAATGGTCTTACAAATACCTACATTTTATAGAGCTGCTGACATATTTTTTCCCACTATGGAACTCTTTTACAATGGTCTTCTGTATGCAGCTTATTTATACATTTGCAACTGTGCAAATGATAAAAATATCGTTTATTATAATAAGATTTTTAGATAAATATTATTCAAGTAGTAACCAGGTGTTCGCGGTGGTAGCGAGTAGCGAATAGCGATTAAAGCTGCAATGTTTATCAGTTAAATTCATTTGTAGTAAAAAAAGTCAACTTTTGCCCTTCAAAGCTTTAAGTACAGATGACGGCACATCAAGCTAACCATGGCGTTATCTTAAATGTAAGCTGTAATAAGGGGCGGTTTTTCAAAAAAATGCACGTCAAGCGTTCACGCGCCGTTCCCTCTAATCGCCTTTGGATTAGATCCTGAAATGAACCATTACAGACGCTCAGACACGGCTCGTTAAAACTGACACCTCGGTTACATTACAACCCACACGGTTAATATTAAAATAAACAACGCTTTTAAATTGCCTGTTCTGTGGCCATATTAAGATTAAACTACATAATGTGCCGTTATCGTAGACTGTCTGGGATCGTGACACCAATGTGACAATAAATTGATCAGTATTTTATTATTTCAAGGTATTTTGTATTTATGACAAAAACAGATGGCTACATAATTGCCAATTAAGAAAACATCGTATATAATTATCCATTTAAAGTTAATAAATGGGAGAAAAACAGTAATGATTAATAGCATAGCAAGATGGATTCCACACAAAACTCATAAATAACTAGCTGTGCCCGCGACTTCGTACGCGTGAAAATAGTTTGAATAATATTTCCCGTTTTTGAAACATTTTTCTTTACTGCTCCGCCCCTATTGGCTGTAGGGTGTGATGTTGTATAGCCTAAAACCTTACTCGATAAATGAGCTATCCAACAAATCGGACTAGTAGTTCCTGGGATTAGCGCGTTCAAGCAAACATAGTCATGAAGCGAAATCTAGACAACCTGTATATAGATTGGTTATGAAATATTTCATAAAATTCTCTCGTTATTAGTAAATATCACCATCAATCCATGTCAATGGATTTTCCACCTGTATCCCTCTCAACCCGAATTCTGAGATGTTTTAAGGATTGACGGATTTTATCCCTCAACAGGGATTATTAGAGGAGACAGGGGAGACTTATACCTAAGAGTAGCACAATACAGGCCAAGTGAAAATAATAATCCCACTGTACTGTATCAATGGTAAATACGAGTAGTTAGAAAAATATATTTTGTATATCGTTCGTTCGTTCGTTTCAGCCGAAAGACGTCTACTGCTGGACAAAGGCCTCCCCCAAGGATTTCCACAAAGACCGGTCCTGCGCCACTCGCATCCAGACGCCTCCCGCGACCTTCACCAGATCATCGGTCCACCTAGTGGGAGGCCTGGCCACGCTCGTGGTCGCCACTCAAGAACTTTCCTGCCCCAGCGGCCATCAGCTCTGCGAGCTATGTGCCCCGCCCACTGCCACTTGATTTTAGCGATTCTGCGGGCTATGTCAGTCACTCTGATTCTCCTAAGGATCTCCTCATTTCTGATTCGATCACGCAGGGAAACTCCGAGCTGTTATTCCATTCCATATAATTTGGTTGAATAAATAACTTTAGCCCATAGTTACACATTATCATTTACAAGATTATGAGGTCAAAGTTCAACGCACACTGTGTTATCCTTGTGTGTAAATTATGACTTATATTTTTATGTAACAAACATAAAAAACACGGAGATCCCTTTTATACGAAGGATGTAACATAGAGTCTGTTCATACAGCAGGTTTTTTTTATGTGATAGGAGGCAAACGAGCAGACGGATCACCTGATGGTAAGTGATTACCGTCGCCCATAGACACCCGCAGACCCAGGGGCGTTACAGGTGCGTTGCCGGCCTTTAAGATAAAGATACGCTCTCCTCTTGAAAGCTTGCAGGTCTATAAAGGTCAGGTGTCTATAAAGCACCTGCTACGTAACGACCCTATCCAGTCAAGATGACGGGCATGATAAAATGCATTCTATAGTAATTGTTATAAATACTTTGACAATTCAAATAGAACAATTACACCAACCATTTCAAAAGAATGCGTTAACCCTTCGCGGTGCCTAAGCTAAAAAATATGCTTGTCGTACTTTTATAACGCGTACAGAGAGGCGACATGTCAGTCAGTGTTCCCGAATTTTTACAACCTCAACCCAAGGGTTATTAAAACCCATAATGCCCGTTTTCACCATCAATCTCTAATTTTTAAGTAACCCCTTTGAAAACAAAATTCCTGTTATGTGTTACCATAGAGGTCACTTAAAAATTAGGGATTGATGGTCAAAACGGGCATAAGCATCTTTTAGGTAAGCACCCTTCATCATAGATTACATTTACACTCTTTGTCATAAACCCAACTTTTTTTTAATTTCATTAACTTGATGTAACAACATGATATTATGTACGTACCTACAACATCAGAGAATTTATTGATAAAAATATGCGCATAGAATCAAATAAATAAAACTATAATCGTATACAATATGTCTATTAGTTAGGCTGTAGATAATAACAATATCTCTCTCAGCTAGTACATAATGGCTGTATTATCAGTAGGGTTGGTTGTTATGGCTGTGAACAGCAATCCTTATCTTCCCGTCAATAGCCTCAAGGACTTTGATATTTTTGAGTTGATCATGTTTAAGAAGAAGAAGACAATCAAGCTTTATGAGCTACATTAGGCAAGCAATTATCATGTCTAGACCGAACCAATGCAATATGATATGCAATACCAATCTTGAACCAAAACAATAAGTAGCATTTATAACGACGTAAAAAATCTACGTAGCTCATCATCATCAGGTCATTTACACCCGGCTTCTGAATTAAGATTTTTAGCTTGAGCGTGTTCATTGCTCATTTTCATCTACAGAAATTTGTGTCCACTGCCATTTAGGCCTATTCTCCTCTCGCTGGCCAGACGCGTAGACGGGTTGAAGAAGCGTTGTTGATGTGCACAGTAACAGTTACATCCCTCGCGCCATTTTATTAGAGTCCAAATCCACTCTCTAAAACCACCTACTGTATGAATTTCCACGCTTCTAGAAATACCTAGCATCCTCGGTGAACGCTCTCGTTATCGCCCGCTACGCTTTGAACCTTTAGGCATCTCTTCGCCCGCGCCGTCTACTCGTACCATGCAAAAGGGGCGGCTTTTGGATCACTCTCCAAGAGCGCCTACTAAGCTAATTTCTACTGCGTCTTCTAGAAATACCTAGCATCACCGGTGAACGCTCGCGTTATCGCCCGCTCCGCTTTGAATCTTTAGGCATTTCTTCGCCCGCGCCGTCTACTCGTAACCATGCAAAAGGGGCGCCTTTTGGCTCACTCTCTAAGAGCGCCTACTGTGTTAACTTCTATTGCGTCTTCTAGAAATACCTAGCATCCTCGGTGAACGCTCGCGTTATCGCCCGCTCCGCTTTCCGCACAGGCGGGACGATATCATAGTGTCATTTACATTTCGATACGCAAATATCAAAGTTTCGGTACAAATCACGACGTCTATTGTGAGCGTCGTTAAAATAGTTTCGGTTATTTCTGGAGCGATATTTCTAGAGAACCGAGTACGAAATTATATCAAAATGTTAGCATCTTTGTTTTAGTAGCTTAGTTACTGTAATAAATAATATAGAAAAGCTGATATAAAAATGTTATTTATGGATTTAAAAGATTTTTGATCCTATGAGGTATAAATAGGTCCATTAGTATTGTTAGTGCACACTTTTTAGTAATAGTCAGAGAATATTGATTAATGTAAAAGCTGTAAAATGGACGATTCACGCCTCAGAAATCGTCTTTATTGAGATTAATGAAACTTTGAAGAATTAAGATAACGGAACACAAAACCTATTTTACACAGAATGAATTAAACAAAAGCTTGTAAAAAGTTTTTTTTTGTTAATGGCAACCAAACCTCGTAAAAAAGTCTTAGGCAGCCACTAGCACAATCATAAATTCTAATTTAATTTTACAGTATGCAAATAAATGCTCAAAACAAGACACGTGTTATAATAAAACAATAATTTATTTTAATCTATGATAAAAGACTTCTATTCATAAAGCGGTCCATATATTAATCGAAAAGTTATATTTCTATTTCACAATTAATTCACTAATCGCATTAAACGAACAAGTATTAATTTTATTTATGTGAAAGCAGAAGCAATAAAATTAATATACGTACTTTATTGAATTACGTCTAATATTTTGGCATTTATGAGTGTTTTTAAGTTATTGGTCACAATTCTCATTACATATTTCACAGCTCCAAATTGTTTTGTTATCTAGATAAATTATGTATCTGTCACCGTAAAATTGTGAATTACGTCAGATTATAATCTGTAGTTAAATTACAATCTAACCTAACCCACTGTTAGTTTTACAATCTAAGGCCCGGTTTTTTGATTCATAGTTAAAATAACCAATGGTCAAATTTGACAGATGTCAAATGACAAGTGGTTAAATATCAGAGAAAAATGTTTTTCGAACAATGGTTAGCTTGACTTTTAGTACATTTTGTAACTATTTGTTTACATTTTGTTAATATTTAACCATTAGTAGCAAAATTTAACAATTAGTTATTTTAACTAAGAATCAAAAAACTGGGCCTAACTCGTTATTTATAAACTGACAGAGGTCACAATTTAACGTTGACATATCTAAATGACTTCAATAATAGTAAAGTATAATATACTTAATAGAATATTTATTACATTGAGTAGATATTTAAAAGTCAATAACATAATAATGAAATACGAGCATCTACATATATTCTTCCACATTTTAGACTGCTCCATCTAGTCCCAAACTAAGTAACACTAATATTATAAGTACCAGAAAACCGTAACCGAAAAAAAAACATAATAGAGTGTCCGAGAAACTTCAGACCATGGCTCACATATTTACTTGATAGCTCGTTCCTTGTGTCTAAAGTCGCTTCCGCAAGGGAAGGCCTGGCTAGGGCCATGGAAATGCGTTTGAAGTTGCACTGCTTTTGCTAGGGTCATCAAAACTTAGTTTTAAAGGTTAGATAAACGACAATTTTAAATATATTTTAAATTTCACTTGTCATTCAAATTAACCTAAATTATAGCGCAGAACTTGTCATGCATCTTCATGCATAATAGATGAACCAAGCTGCGTCGCTGAACTGTCACTTGGTATAACACAAATTTTCACGCAACAGTAAACATTGTGCTCTATATTGGAAAATAGATCATTTTCTGATCCTTTCACTTCATTAATTTACTATTTTTAGCAACGATTCATGAGTTAATAAAAGTGTTCATGGAGTTTTTTTTTTTAATTCGTCTCAACATTTGGTTAATGCTAGAACTCAGTGATTATTTCTGATCACAGTCAAGTAAATCACATAAATCATTCAAAAATAAACAACACACCATACCCGCCAAGTCTCTTTTAGAACTCTAAAATAGAACAAAAATAAAGTATCAGGACAATTTAGAAAACGACTAAGTATTTGTCCAAGCGGTCTCTCTGGTCCGCATTTAGTTTGAGCATTTCAAGTATGCGACCATTAAATAGTTAATCGTTGATTTATACAAGTCTTGGCTCGTAGCTAGTCTACGTGAATTTATCAAGCTCGAATTATTAAACAGATAATCTTTAATGCCACATAAATCGGTACACAAGACAAACTTAATGCCAAAAGACATGTACATTCTTTGCCAGTTGAGCTTTACGGTAATTAGAAAATATATTAAAAAAATAATTAGGCGGCGTTTTATAACTCTTCACGCAAGTAAAACTAATGTATTTGTAATGATTATCTATATAGGTACATAATACCAACAGAACAATTGCTTGTGGCTATTACTAACGAAAGGTGAATAATTTTGACGAACAAATGAATACCGATTGGTGACGAATTACTGATTCATAAAAATGTATTATTAACTACTCACGTTGAAATACCTATAAATTATAACACCTCAGATATTTTTTTTTATCAAACATAGATCATAGGTATTGTAAAAAGTTCAAAGACTTTATTTTATAAATTTTGAAAGGGAGCGTGGTATATAAATACGGGCGAATAGAGTCGACCATTCCAGTTAGATTTCACTTTTTGTTATTTTATAAGTTGCGGTGTCTACAGGGTGTTAGGTAAATGGGTATATGAGCCGACACTAGCCCATGTTAACATGGGCATATAAATGGTATGGCGTGGTCAGAAATGGCAATGCCAGATTTTGTATGGAAGGTGGCGTCTTTTTTTTTTCGCGCGGCCATCGACCAAACTTTGTTTTTTGATTACAAAATAGTGTAATAAACCAAACTTACTATGGCATGTATACCTCTAAACTCAGTCTGAACTGAGTTACGAGCATTAGAAGTTTGATGATTTTCATACTAGATTTGCTTTTTGCGCGCAAGTTTTGTAAGAAATTGCAACAAAATATTGCGCTCCTCTGAAGGTTGGAGACTCTACACTCGAAGTTGTCGACAATTATGTATACCTGGNTGATATGATTATATATTTTATATATATGATATGGATCAGACTGATGTTTGTTATTAGAAAATCGCACTTAATAGACTACTCAGGATGCTTGTGTTTAGCTTTGATGAAGTGTCCTCTATGTCTGCCTAAAAGGTACTCTTTTTGCACATAAAAAAACTCAAAATTATAAAGCACAATGTATCACTATATGAAGGAATGTTTTGCAGATAACCTACGGATTAAGTAGCTTGAGAACAAAAGAGTGCATGTAAGGATTTGGATTCTACAATGATGTTTAGATTGCCTGTCTTTATTTCACTCCTAGGTACTTAACTCCTGCATGAGCGATCATCGCCAATAGATTTATGGAAACGGATTATCTAAAATGTCAATCCGAATGATTATTTCCTACTACTACTCAGCTACTCCATTAAAATAACCATAGATAACTTTCATAGACCCATAAACCTTTTTTCTCCCACAGAGCTACCTCCTATCCGACGGCACCGTGGTCAAGTTCGACGACTCCCAGTTCCTAGTGTTCATCAACCGGCTCCTAGCCTTCCTAGTGGCGCTGGGCCGGCTGCTGTGCACGCAGCAGCCGCTGGTGTCGGCGCCGCTGTACAAGTTCTCGTACTGCTCAGTGACTAACATCATCAGCGCGTGGTGTCAGTATGAAGCGCTGAAGTACGTCAGCTTTCCTACTCAGGTGAGGTATTAAGAGTTTTGTTTCTTTGCGTTTATGTTCCTAGTGTTTCCTAGAGTTTCTAGTGGCGCTGGGACGGCTGCTGTGTTAAGATGCGCGCCATGAAAAAATCTTATCGATGATTTAATGCGACAAACGAATGGGCTTATCGCGCAACATCGACAAAAGTATCTAGTCTCACCTAGACTTTTTAGTGGCGCTGAGACGACTGCTGTGCTAAGATGACGCCATGAAAGAATCTTATCGATGTTTATGGACGACATTATGGGCTTATCGCGCAACATCGATAAAAGTCTCCTAGTCTTCATCGACCGGCTCCTAGCCTTCCTAGTAGCGCTGGGCCGGCTGCTGTGCACGCAGCAGCCGCTGGTGTCGGCGCCGCTGTACAAGTTCTCGTACTGCTCGGTGACTAACATCATCAGCGCGTGGTGTCAGTATGAAGCGCTGAAATACGTCAGTTTCCCTACTCAGGTGAGGTATTAAGAGTTTTGTTTCTTGGCGTTTATGTTCCTAGTGTTTCCTAGAGTTTCGAGTGACACTGGGACGGCTGCTGTGCTAAGATGCGCATCATGAAAGAGTCTTATCGATGATTTAGTGCGACAAACGTATGGGCTTATCGCGCAACATCGATAAACAGTTTATCGTAGTCTTCATCAACCGCCTCCTAGCCTTCCTAGTGGCGCTGGAACGGCTGCTGTGCTAAGATGGGCGCTATGAAAGAATCTTATCGATGATTTAGTGTGACAAACGTATGTCCTTATCGCGCAACATCGATAAGTTTATTCTAGTCTTCATGGACTGTCTCCTGACCTTCCTAGTGGCGCTGGGACGGCTGCTGTGTTAAGATGCGCGCCATGAAAAAATCTTATCGATGATTTAATGCGACAAACGAATGGGCTTATCGCGCAACATCGATAAATGTCTCTAGTATCTCCTAGACTTTCTAGTGGCGCTAGGACGGCTGCTGTGCTAGGATGTCGCCATGATAAAATCTTATCGATGGTCATGGACGACAAATGTATGGGCTTATCACGCAACATGGATAAAAGTTTATCCTAGTGTTCATCAACCGGCTCCTAGCCTTCCTAGTGGCGCTGGGCCGGCTGCTGTGCACGCAGCAGCCGCTGGTGTCGGCGCCGCTGTACAAGTTCTCGTACTGCTCAGTGACTAACATAATCAGCGCGTGGTGTCAGTATGAAGCGCTGAAGTACGTCAGCTTTCCTACTCAGGTGAGGTATTAAGAGTTTTGTTTCTTTGCGTTTATGTTCCTAGTGTTTCCTAGAGTTTCTAGTGGCGCTGGGACGGCTGCTGTGTTAAGATGCGCGCCATGAAAAAATCTTATCGATGATTTAATGCGACAAACGAATGGGCTTATCGCGCAACATCGACAAAAGTATCTAGTCTCACCTAGACTTTTTAGTGGCGCTGAGACGACTGCTGTGCTAAGATGCGTGCCATGAAAGAATCTTATCGGTGATTTAGTATGACAAACGTATGGGCTTATCGTGCAACGTCGATAAAAGTTTATCCGTCTTCATCAACCGGCTCCTGACCTTCCTAGTGGCGCTGGAACGGCTGCTGTGCTAAGATGGGCGCTATGAAAGAATCTTATCGATGATTTAGTGCGACAAATGTATGGGCTTATCGCGCAACATCGATAAAAGTCTCCTAGTGTTCATCAACCGCCTCCTAGCCTTCCTAGTGGCGCTGGGCCGGCTGCTGTGCACGCAGCAGCCGCTGGTGTCGGCGCCGCTGTACAAGTTCTCGTACTGCTCAGTGACTAACATCATCAGCGCGTGGTGTCAGTATGAGGCGTTGAAGTACGTCAGCTTTCCTACTCAGGTGAGGCGCTTTTGTTTATTTGTGTTCCTAGTATCTCCTAGAGTTTCTAGTGGCGCTGGTACGGCTGCTGTGCTGCTGTGAAAGAATCTTATCGATGATTTAGTGCGACAAACGTATGGGCTTATCGCGCAACATCGATAAAAGTCTCCTAGTCTTCATCGACCGCCTCCTAGCCTTCCTAGTGGCACTAGGACGGCTGCTGTGCTAAGATGCGCGCCATGAAAGAATCTTATCAATGATTTTAGACGACAAATATATGAGCTTATCGCGCAATATCGATAAAAGTCTCCTAGTGTTCATCAACCGCCTCCTAGCCTTCCTAGTAGTGCTGGGCCGGCTGCTGTGCACGCAGCAGCCGCTGGTGTCGGCGCCGCTGTACAAGTTCTCGTACTGCTCAGTGACTAACATCATCAGCGCGTGGTGTCAGTATGAAGCGTTGAAGTACGTCAGCTTCCCTACTCAGGTGAGGCGCTTTTGTTTCTTTGTGTTCCTAGTATCCCTAGAGTTTCTAGTGGCGCTGGGACGGCTGCTGTGCTGCTGTGAAAGAATCTTATCGATGATTTAGTGCGACAAAAGTTTAGACTTATCGCGCAACATCGATAAAAGTCTCCTAGTGTTCATCAACCCGCTCTTAGCCTTCCTGGTGGCGCTGGGCTGGCTGACTAACATCATCAGCGCGTGGTGTCAGTATGAAGCGTTGAAGTACGTCAGTTTCCATACTCAGGTGAGGCGTTAGGAGTTTTATTTTATAAAATCTTTCTCTTAGTTAACTCTACCCTACTCAGGTGAGGCACCATAAAGATTAGTTTTACTCATAGATGGCGTTATTGACTCGCGATATCATCTGATATTGTATCTGATATGTAATTTAACCGCTATTCCGCTCTGGGATGACTCACGCGGAGTCAGTCCACACTTGGCGTGAAGCCTGTGACCTGCTGTGGCTTACTTTGTTTTGTTTTGAACTGAGATATGATAAGTAAGCATTTATTTGCTGCACACAAAGTCACATACATAGTTTAACAAGATTACATAATTCAATATTTAACATGCACATTCAAAATAAAAAACAAAATAAATAACAATGAAAAATGAAATAATGTGAGCAGAGTTGCGGCAGCAAAAGGTCTCCGTCTCAGCAATGTGTCACAAGCTAATGCCTGGACGCTGATTTCCGTGATAAAATCACGTACATTACGAACCACGGGGTAGCCCCATAGTAATGTCTTGTAATGTCCACCGCAGGTGCTATCGAAGTAGTGTAAAGTGATCACCGTCACGCACCGTGGGCACCGTCACGGCCGTGATGATATTCGTGATGATCCTGTTACTGTCCCCTATAGTAACGTCTGCTAATGTCCCCCGCAGGTGCTCTCGAAGTCGTGTAAATTCGTCCTTGTGATCATGATGAGCAAGGTCACGGTCGTGATGATCCGTAACATGGCGCTGTTATTGTCCCTTATATTAACGTCTGCGAATGTCACCTATAGTAACGTCTGCTAATGTCCCCCACAGGTGCTATCAAAGTCGTTTAAAGTCATCCCCGTGGTGATGATAAGCAAGATCACGGCCGTGATGATCCGTGTTAAGTGATCCCCGTGATGAGGATGAGCAAGATCACGGCCGTGATAACCGTGGGCATGGTACTGTTATTATCCCCTATAGTATCTGCAGTAATATTCACTGCAGTTGCTATCGAAATCGTGTAAAGCATCCCCGTGATGATGATGGGCACCGGATGATGGGCACCGTCACGGCCGTGATGATCCGTGGGCATGGCGTTGTTATTTTCCCCCGCAGGTACTATCGAAGTCGTGTAAAGTCATCCCCGTGATGACGATTGGCAAGTTGATATTGTGCACCAAATACGTCACGGCCGTGATATCCGTGATGGTGCTGTTATTGTCCCCAATAGTAATGTCTGCTAATGTCCCCCGCAGGTACTATCGAAGTCGTGTAAAGTGATCCCTGTGATGATGATGGGCAAGCTAATATCGCGCACCAAGTACGAGCTGTACGAGTACGTCACGGCCGTGATGATATCAGTAGGAATGGTGCTGTTTATGTTTGGCAGCCATGACGACTACTCGGGTGAGCTAGTTCAATTTTTTTTGTATTGTGTAAGTTTGCGAAGATGCACAAAAGCGATGTATGGATATTGCTATTAAATTGTCGTGGTCGAGATTTTTTCTGCTTCAAATGCCGTTAATTCTATGAGCAACATTGATTGATTACACCTAACGAAACTCCTCATTTCTGATTAGACCAGATAGAGAAAATCATAGTGAAAAATAGAACGCCCAGAGGCGGATTTATTAAACTGATTACGTCTCGAGTCCTCGGTCTAGTCTAGAGGCTATAAAAGCTAGCAACGCTCTCTTCGCCTTCATTTTAGGAGTTTCAGTGACGTCAGTCTGTAGATTACTGCTACACAGAACTTACAACTTACTGACAGATATTTATTTAATGTTCCAGTGTCAACAGTAACAACGATGTCGGGGCTGACGCTCCTAGCGCTATACATGGTGTGTGACAGCTTCACGTCGTCATGGCAGGGGGCGCTATTCGCGCGCTACAGCTGCTCCGCGCTACAGATGCTGTGCGGCGTGAACTTATTCAGTTGCGCGCTTACTGCCGCCGCGCTAGCGCATCATACAACCACGCAACACTCGCTCACGCTGCTGCAGGTCAGTGTCCACCGCGCTACAAGTGCAGCGCGCTACAAGTGGAGCGCGTTACAGATGCTGCGCGCTACAGCTGCTCCGCGCTACAGATGCTGTGCGGCGTGAACTTATTCAGTTGCGCGCTAACTGCCGCCGCGCTAGCACATCATACAACTACGCAGCACTCGCTCACGCTGCTGCAGGTTAGTGTACACCGCGCTACAGGTGCAGCGCGCTACAGGTGCAGCGCGCTACAGTTGCTCCGCGCTACAGATGCTGTGCGGCGTGAACTTATTCAGTTGCGCGCTAACTGCCGCCGCGCTAGCACATCATACAACCACGCAGCACTCGCTCACGCTGCTGCAGGTTAGTGTACACCGCGCTATAGATGCTCCGCGCTACAGAACCTCCGCGCTACAGATGCTGTGCGGCGTGAACTTATTCAGTTGCGCGCTTACTGCCGCCGCGCTAGCGCATCATACAACCACGCAGCACTCGCTCACGCTGCTGCAGGTCAGTGTACACCGCGCTACAGGTACACGGCGCTACAGATGCTCCGCGCTACAGATGCTGTGCGGCGTGAACTTATTCAGTTGCGCGCTAACTGCCGCTGCGCTCGCGCGTCATACAACCACGCAGCACTCGCTCACGCTGCTGCAGGTCAGTGTATTAAGCGCTACAGGTTTATCCCGTTAGTTACACGGCGCTACGCTACAGTTGCTCCGCCATACATGTTAATACAGGTTATAGTTATATCACACTACAGCTGCTCCGCGCTACAGGCACACTCTGTTACAGGTATACTCCGTTACAGTTACACTGCGCTACAGATACATCGCGCTACAGAAACACCCCGTTATAGTTACACGTCGCTACACTCTGCTACACGTTAAAGTTCACGGCGCTACACCGTGCTACAGGTTTTAGTTACACCGCGCTACAGTTGCTTGGCGCTACAGGTACATCCCGCGATACAAGTACACCCCGTTAGACCTACTCCGCGTTACAGTCGCTCCTTAAAACTTTCCAATTATAAAAAAGTTGTGCCTTATCTCCTTGTAATAAGAATAAGAATAAGAATGCCAATCTTATCTCCCATATTTGTATATTTCCTCAGCATCCTGTGTTCGCGATGGATTGCCTGCTTCTATCTGTGAGCTCGGCGGTGGGACAGCTGCTCATATACCGGACGATCGCCAGGTTCGGCGCCGTTGTTTTCACCATCATCATGACACTGCGACAGGTGAGTTATGATAATGCAGTTGACTTGTCTTTTATGTTTCCTAGCAAATAGCAAAGCACTTTCATCCCTGATTAGGGTAACGTTTTGATCGTATTTTGTTTATTTCTCCTTAAGTAGCAGGAGCATTATAATGGCGGGATCGTCTTTTGTTACTGCCGGCAGTTGCGTGCGCGCAGTTATCTTATAGTACGAGAGCCCACGACCAAAATTTTTGTCTCATAGCAATACGGCCAAAACCGCATCAAATCGATAGATACGATTATCCTGAACTCGAAAATACCAATATCAGACATTTTCCGCGTAGCGTTTGATCTGACCGAATTTTAAAAATTGTCAAAGAATTTTACCGAACTGCATCATAGCAATATGTCTGATTTGCAGACTGTAGTTGAATGATAGTTCTGAGATACCGGAAACATTATTTTCAGACGTTAGTGGTGTAGCGCAAACCCGTAAAATCACTTAAAAAAATTAAAAATGAGACAAAAAAAATGTCTCATAGCAATACGTCTGAAAATCTTTTTTATTAGTAAATTTTGGTTATTTGATGCGAACAAAACAATTTTCAGACGGAAATGTGAACGCATTAAATTTTGAGACAGTTTTGAAAATGTTAACAAATTTTACCGATCGGTATCATAGCAATATGTCTGAAAATTGTTGGACATGATAAAATAAGTTGTCCACATGTGCAAAAAATTTATATCAGACAAATTAAGTGTAGCACCTTCTCTATCATACAACTTTTTGATACACTTAAAGTGTCTGAAAACAGGTTTTTGGTAATCATGGCAGCAATACGAAAAGNTTTTTTATTGCGCTGATTCTGCTCCATACTGATGTCTGGAGCCTATAATGGATGGTATTGTTTGTTTACACATACAATGCCACTATTTTGTTGCAATTTCTTACAAAACTTGCGCGCAAAAAGCAAATCTAGTATGAAAATCATCAAACTTCTAATGTTCGTAACTCAGTTCAGACTGAGTTTAGAGGTATACATGTCATAGTAAGTTTGGTTTATTACACTATTTTGTAATCAAAAAACAAGGTCTGGTCGATGGCCGCGCGAAAAAAAAAGACGCCAATTTCCGGCATTGTCTTTTGATATCATCATTTTATTTTTTTTAAATCATACAAATTAATTTTTATAAAATCCGATTTGTATGAAAATTTAAATAATTAAAATGATGATATCAATTTTCTGACTTCACCATACCATTTATATGCCCATGGTAACATGGGCTAGTGTCGGCTCATATACCCATTTACATAACACCCTGTATAAATGGTTCACCATTGGGATAATTTACGAAGTCAATATAATTAAATATGGGCCAGCCCACAACGAACGAACAGGCAAAATTAATTAATTTAATTGTAGATAAGTATTATTATGCATACTACTTAAATGCTTGCAAGCGTAAAACTTGGGACTACTTTTTGGTATGGAATGGAATATTATTAGTTGTTGCTTAGATATTAGAATACGTACTCCATCATCAGGTCATTAGTCTCCAGGAGTACGACCTTGGACGAAAGCACCCTCTCTGATTTACCAGAGGCAAATCCAGCATTTTGCCCACACACCGTAAGGTGACCAGAGGGTTGATGAGGACTGATATCCTACTAATATTATAATCCTACTAATCGTACTAATATTTCCTACTAATATTATAAACGCGAAAGTTTGGATGTCTGGATGTTTGTTACTCTTTCACGCAAAAACTACTGAACGGATTTTGTTGAAACTTTACAGTATTATTGTTTGTGACCCAGATTAACATATAGGCTATAATTTATGCCGATCTGTGATACTAAATTTCACGCGGGTGGAGCCGCGGGCGGCCGCTAGTATTCTCATAATTCTTCCTTAGTCGCCTCTTACGACATCCACGGGAAGTTTATACAGGGTGTTGGGCGGAAGATTAGACAAACTTCGTGGTAAGGTAAGGTCATTTTAAGAATACAAGTTCGCCCACTTGACGCTAAGTGAGCTACTTTTTTTTATTGATATTTTTGTTTTTAAGTTTGTCTAACCTTCCGCCAAACATCCTGTATATTACTATGCCGTAACCACAAGGCCTATAGAGAACTTAAATTATCTTTATTTAGAAAATGACACAAACATTTATCGACTCTTATCCAAGATGTAATTAAGAAACAGAATTATTCGTATGTACAACCGGTTTATTAATAAATTCCACCGAGTTGATAACTACGAGAACGGTGGCTAGTTCCCATGTCGCTAGCCGTCATGACCCTTGATATTCAGACTTGCTGTCAGCCTACCCTATGAGTGTACTGTGCCACGGTAGGTATGGTTACGCCCAGTCCAGAGAATTACTGTACTCTACGATTTCTTGAAAAATTACAACGTAAAATTACTACAGCCCAAATTATAATGTAGGCTAGTCGCAGCTTGATATAGGTACTTAATACAAATAATAAATATTCTTCGAAATTTTCTACTGTACTGCATTATCTAGCTGAAAAAAGTTTGAAGTGGCCCATTTATTGTCCCGAAGTAGTAGTAGGTTAATTCTGGGACGTGTAAAAGGGGTTTTTAAAGTCTTTTGCAAAAATAGATGAGTTTTATGTTTTATGAGTTTACGATACCACAGACAACGGATAGATAACTAACTCATTTAAACCAAAATTCAGAATGCATTGCTGCGTTTGAAAGAATTATTTTTTAAAGAAAATTAAAACATACAATCAAAATGTACAAATATTGTAATCGAATCAGCATTAAAGGATTCATACGAGTATTTATTAACGATACAGTTTTACTTATGCTTTTACTTAATAAACAGTAAAATATTTACAAAAAAGTAAGATACTCGTATAAAAGGAGTGCCGCGATGCATGTCCCGATCAATCGATGCACAGACGCATCAATTAATAAATAGATGGTTCTATATTGGCTCACATAAAATTCTAAATCCTATTCTTTGTCTTACTACCGATTTGTGTTCATAATAATCTCTCTTCATAATTTTATTTTTCATAAATTTTTTATTCATACATTTTTATTACTACCATCGGAGCTCATAACAGTTAGTAATCATATTTTTTTTATTAATACTGTTACTACCAAGAACCATTCAAAATACATAATTTTAATTTTCAGATCTTTTTTCTTCATAACATTCATTGATCATATTGTTTTAATTAATAATGTTGTTACTAAGAACATACTTCAACTCATAATGTTGTTGTTCAGAATAATTTACTTTATAACAGACATACCTACTCGTCTAATAGAGTAGATAAGCATGCAGAGCATGCAGCATGAAAGCAAGCATGCAGCATTCATTGGTATCTCCTCGTCTCCGGCTTTTAAATTACACTCTAGGGGTAGGGCGGACAAGACTACGTGGAGTAGGTTTTGCAGCGATTCGTTTCTGTCACGTTAGTTTTGTGGCACAAAATATTGCCTGTTTTGGATCATTTCAAATTAATTTAATGTTAAAATACGATTTAATACGAATATAGACAGCATGATTTTCAATAATATGGATAAATAAATACACTTACGAGTAATAAATTTATGAAAACAAATATTAGGATACATCACATTTATGAATATTATAGTTATTTATTCGAATGATTATGAGTTTCGATCACTAGTATAGAAAAATATATGAAAACAAATATTAGTAAAAGCTAAGTGTATGATTAGTGATATTATGAATATCAATGATTATGTTTTTAAATATGTAGGTTTTAAATTTTTTATGAAGAATGATCATTATGATATCAAATTGTATGAGAAATATTTTCGGACCTCCAATGATATGAATTGAAAAGTTATGTAAGAAAATGCGCTACCATTTCGCCGAAACAGTAAATTTTCTGTGTCCAGGCAGACGAACACATGTTTTTTTTATATACTAATATGTATAAAACTATTTTTATGGGAAAGTTCATCAAAAGTTTTATTTATTTTTGCTTACATACAATAGCAGAAACTACAAATAATACCGCAGAAAAACTTAATCAAAAGTAGTTTGTCTAATTTCCTTGTTATGTCCATTACTGTTGTTTGCCAAAATGAAGGCACAATATTATAACAAATTGAAGCGTAATTTCATTCTTATAGCACTGTCTTTATATTTGAGAAACGTTTGGCTATCGGATAATAAAAACTTTAAATGTCAAATACTTAAAGGAAGGGAATAAAGTGAAGTTAAGTTCTTGTCCGAGTCAAAAGTATAATTTCCCTGAGTCTTCTTTGTTACGAAACGAAAGAACTTAGAATGTAATGCACTGCACCGTTACACCTTTTGCTCCGCCCCTATTGGCTGTAGGGCCTGTAGGGTGATGTTAAGCATCATAAATATTTTTTCAAAAAGGATTAGTAGTTCCTGAACTTCCTGAGATTAGCGCGTTCCATCAATCCCAAACAAACTTTTCAGTTTTTTTAATACGATTAATATAGAAGTATAGATTCGTAATAAACTTTAAAGGAAGGCTTACAGAAATTCCAAATCGCCAACAAGTATTAGGGTGTATTAACGCCAACAAGTATCATATCATAGCGTAGCTCATAAGTTGTTAGTACTATCAATTACTAGTATGTATCATCTTAAAATCGGTAGCCCAACATCTGAACTCCTCCTGTGGGTCTAGAGTGCACACAACAAAGTGTACATTGTAATAAATAATGTTCACGCGCCATCGATAGTCATCGATAGCATTGACATGAATACGATTACGAGATTTACGAGTACAACACTACAGTGTGAGTTTGCATTGCAAACTTTGCAAGGCAGGCAAACGGGATTATAGATGACCCACGCTGAACTGTCCCGCCAAACTCAATGACAGGGGGGCGCTACCATCGTTCAACTATATGGTTTCCAACATGGCAAAAATCGGAACTAGCGATCCGGTATTGACGGTGGCGCCCCACTGTCAATGTCATGCATAGGACATTACTTTTCTCTATGGTTCAGTATTTTGGAACTATTACGGGACATCACCGTCACTCTCTA